CTGGACCCCAGCAGTGTCGCTACAGGGCCAGTCTCAGAAAGAACCAGGCCTCATGCTCTCTGGGCTCTGCTCCATGTCCTCTCTTCTGCCAGCAAGTTTTGAAACAGAAACCCCTCCAGCAGAGCTCCCAGAGGGCAGCATCCAAATGGCACTTCACAGAAAGATCTTGCTTAGGACCAAAGCAAAGAGCTGATTGGGGCTCATGGAGTCCTCTGACAGAGTCTGGGCATGGGAATATGTATGTTCCAGATAGGGAAACGGGCTCAAGCCAGCTCCCGTGGATGCCTGCTAGGCAAGGTCAAATAGTTCAAAGCCAGAGGGAGGCTTCTCTCTCCTCCTCCAGGGCTTAGCCCAGCCCATCCCCTGGCCTTGGCCCTTCACTTTGAACACCTCCAGGCTGAAGCAGGGTCAAGTCTCAGATGCAAAGGTTGACCTCACAGTTCCTCCCAATTCTCCTCCCTTGCTAGCAGCAGCCTCGTCTGCTTGACATGCTCTGGACCTTCCACCCCTCTCAAGGAAGCCACAGTTAAAAGCCAGCTGGGTTACAATGCTCTTTCTAGAAACTCCATCAGGGCCTTGGGGGACTGCTTACCATCTATTCACTGCAGTGCCCCAGGAAGAACATAGTTCTGAAGAACTAGAGGTCAGAAAACCACCATCACTATTTTCACCACCATTATCACCACAGTCATCTTGATTGTGGTCATCATCACCATCATTACCACCATCATCATTGTCATTACTATTGTCACCATCACTGTCATCAGCACCATCAACACCACCACTATCCTCACTATCATCATGATCACCACCACCACGTCATTACCATCACCATCATCACCATGATTACCATCATCACCACCATCACCATCATCACCATCGTTACCAACATCATCACCACCATCACCATCATCACCATCGTTACCAATATCATCACCATCATCACCATCACCATCATCATCACCATCACCATCATCATCACCTCCATCACCATCACCATCATCACCACCACCTTCCTTACCATCATCATGATCACATAATGTCATTACCATCATCGTCACCATCACCATCATTACCCTCATTGCCATCACCACCATCATCACCATCATCACCATCATCACCACCATCATCATTACCACCACCACCACCGTCATCATAATCATCGCCATTACCATCATCACCACCACCATCCTCACCATCATCGTGATCACCACCACCATGTGATTATCATCATCACCACCATCATCACCATCATCACCATCACCACCATCACCATCATCACCTCCATCACCATCATCATCACCACCGTCATCATTATTGTCATCATCACCATCATCACCACCATCAACACCATCATTACTAACATCATCATCACCATCACCATCATCATCACCTCCATCACAATCACCATCATCGCCACCACCTTCCTCACCATCATCATGATCACCACAACATGTCATTACCATCATCGTCAACATCACCATCATCACCACCATCATCATCACCACCACAATAACCACCATCATCACCACCATCACCACCACCACCATCACCACCACCACCACCACCACCACCACAACATCATTATCATCATCACCACCATCACCACCACCACCATCACCACCACCACCACCACCACCACCATCACCACCACCACCACCACCACCACCATCACCACCACCACCACCACCACCATCACCACCACCACCATCACCACCACCACCACCATCATCATCACCATTGCCGTCATCACCACCACCATCCTCACCATCATCATGATCACCACCACCATGTCATTACCATCATTATCACCGTCACCATCATCATCATTACCATCATCACCACCATCACCATTATCACCACCACCACCACCACCATCACTGCCATCATCACCGCAGCCATCACATTCCTACCACCATAGCAACAGCAACAGTAGCAGAAGCCACCATAAGAAGAGAAGCAGGGTATCTTGAATAGAAAAAGGAAGTTTTCTTTTAGTTCTGTTTTATTTATGGTGTAGTTTATTAGTAACGTGGGGACCATCTAGAGTGGAGAAGGGTCTAGAAGGAGTATACAAAGAAGAAAGAGCCGTGGTCTGCGACTCTGGACTGAGCTCTGCTCTCAACTCCCTGTGTGGCCTTAGAAAGTCATAGGTTCTGAGCCTTGACATTCTCACCTGTAGACTGGAGTGACCCTGACAGGAAGGACTTCGATGGTGGAGGCCAGAAGACCTCACTACATTTCCTTGTAACTTTCAGGTTCTATGGAAAGAGATAAAAACCTCATTCAAGGACCCCATTCCTCCCAGGTCCTCCCTTAAAAGGCTGGATGTAACACAGCAAACACACTTAGAAAGACTGGGAGGTGGAACGCGGGCAGGCCGCCCAGGGACCTTGGGACTGGGGCTTCCAGGCTTCCTGACTGTCTCCCACACATACCTAATAGGGTGCTCAGAAGCCTCTGACCCAAATCTCCAACAGGCACAGACACAAAATGTTCCCAGTAAAGCCTGTTCCCACTGGGAGCAGGGTGACCCAGAAGAATAGCTTTTTGGAAATACCTGCCTTAGTCCAGCCCAACACCGATGAAAACACCTCACCCCACCTTCGCGTTTCAGTGGGAAGAGTGGGGAATTGATCTAACACCCTACCCCCACCTCACTCCCACCCCATCCCACCCCCACATTACCCCCACACCTCACCCCACTCCATCCCCTTCCCTACCCATCTCACCCCCATCCTATCCCCACCTCCCTCCACCCCCCCCCCCCCCCCCCCCCCCCCCCCCAGCAGCAGCAGTGAGGCTGAGCCAGGTGGTGTGAGCCAGTCTCATCGCCACCACTTCAGCCTGACCCTTAGGGTCAGTGGGCTCCCTGCAGGGAGGTGAACCCCCAGCATTCATGAGGTGGGAAAAGGTGAAGGGATAAGCCCAAAGAAATCCACCCCAAGACGCATGAAAATTAAACTTCTGAAATCTAGAGACAGTGAAAACTCTGAAGCAGCCACAGAGACCTGACCCTTGACCTGGGGAGCCCAGCGAGTGACAGAAGATGCCTGATCTGAAACCAGCAAATAACAGAGGATGCCTGATCTGAAACCAGCAAATAACAGAGGATGCCTGATCTGAAACCAGGCGGCTGGGGAGCCCGAGAGCTGAAAGGAAACTGTGACCTGCAGATTCCACGTGCAGTGGACACAGCCTTCAGGGATGAGGCAGAAATTAAGTCACCTCAGTTGAAGGAAGGCAAAGATTCTGTTGCCAGTGTCCTTTCCTTGCAGAATGGCTGCAGGAAGCTCTCTAAACACAGGAGGAATAACAGCAAAATGAGTCTTGGACTTCAGACAGGACAAAAGAACCCCAGATTAGGGGTCAATAGATTCAAGATGATGAGCTTCTTAAATCATTTTTGATGGTTGAAGGAAAAATTTCAGACCCCTCTGGTGTTGCATTCAGTGCATGCACAGCAGACAAGACAACTGTGTTTTAGAGGTGAGGGGAGAAGGGTCCTGGACAGAAGAAGGTTTCACGTTTCCCTCTAGTGGTACCACGTCAATGCCTGTAGCTCGTGATGTCATATACATCCCCGCATATACGGCGTAATACCCAGGGTGACCACTAAGAAACCTACAAAAGTAAGGTACTCTAAACATGCTAAATAAATCAACACACAATCCTGAAACATGTTCCAGTAACCCAGAGGGAGGTAAGAAAAGAGAAACAGGAATGAGAAGCAGAAGACACAGCAGAGAGTGATCAAATGGCAGACTTGAGATTCTGCATATCGATGGGCTACCAGGTAAATGGACCAAATACACCAATCGAAAGGCAGAGACTGGTAGGGTGGATGAGAAAATGACCCAGCTATACACTGTCTTCAGACCAGCCCCATGCTCACTTCCGACACAGCGTAGGTCAGTTGAAAGTGAAATGATGGAAAAAGATACACCTTGTAAAGATGGAAAGACATACGCATTTCAGGTAAATGGGTTTGTTTCATTCGGGCTGAATTTCTTGAGCCCTTTTTTTCCCTTTCTTTTTTCCGCCTGCATTGCCTCTCCCTCCCTCTTCCCCCTGCGACATGCTGGAACCCACAGTGCGTGCACTTGGTAACCACATAGAACACAGGCATGGGTCCATACGAAGCTGCGGACACAGGCAAAGACGCGGGGAAGGGGCGCTGTTTCTTTTCCAAAAAACCAAGGGAAGGACCATGTATAAAGAGTTATCTGTATTTTCCACTTCTCTCCCAATAATATTTTGGGTTAATTCCACCACATCAATGTGGAAAATTTCCCTCCATGCATAATTTACTCAACTGTTAACGTTGGTGATGGCCATTAACTCTGTTTCCAGCATTCTGCCCCCAAACAACGATGCTATAAACATCCTTGAAAGTAAAAACAAACAGAAGAATCACACTCACTAAGCAGAAGTGTTGATTGTTTGTACTTCCTTTGGGAGCAGGACCCCTGAGTTTAGAGGGCCCTAAGCAAACGGTGACTTCTGTTCCTGTCTGTTCCTATCTGCTGAGAACGACACCTCCACCCTGTTCAGCCGCCCGCCCTCTCACGAGCAGAGCCCAGGCCCTGGCATGCTAGCTAAGGGCCCACATGACTAGGGGTTTCTTGCTGAGCCCTCAGAACCAGGCGCACCCACTAGTCCCCACCCTCCCTGCCGACTCTCTCGGCCCACCTAAGACCCTTGTTTAGAATGCAGACTTCAGTGCCCTACTCGCCTGAGGTCCAGGGCCCTACTTTCCTACAAACTGCAGATGGAATAGTTGGACTCAGCCCGGGCTGTCTTGGGAGGAAGCAAAGGGGAGTGGGTGTGGACCAAGCCACTTCACAGATTCACCACCAGGGCCAGAAATGACTCTGCCGCCCCCAAGAAGGAACTGAGTGGAGGCGGCCACAGGTGCTCCGGTATTTGTCCTTTATTGAACATCCTCCCAAAGCTGGGGCTCGGGTTCACCCCCCACTGTGCCCCATGAGAAGCGGCCTTCAGAAGCATCTTCTCTGCACCACGGAGCTCCCAAACTCCTTGAAGTCTGCGGCAGTGACCCACATCTGCTTGAAGCTACTCAGAGAGGTGACGATGGAGGCTCCAATCCAGGTGGAGAACCACCGGTCGGGGGGAGCCGTGATCTTGATGGGAGTGTCTTTGGAGGCCAGCTGCTCCAGCTCCTTGAGAAGCCGGTCATCCAGCCCGTGGAACAGGGTAGTGCCCCCCGACAGCACGATCTCCCCAAAGAGGATCTTCTGGATGTCAGCATCACACTTGGTGATGCTGCTGGAGACCATATGCGAGAGCCCGGGGCTCTGGCAGCCCAGCTGCTGGGGCGTGAACAGGGCCTCGGGCGCCTGGTACAGCGAATCCCCGAGGCTGATGATGTTCCCGTCGGGCAGCTTGTACTCCCTCAGGACCTCCTCCGGCCTCCGGGAAAGCTCCTTCTCGGGCTCCAAGGCCACGTAGCACAGCTTTTTTTTGATGTCATCCACCAGGCCCTTGTCCAGCTCGCAGGAGAAGGTGTGGCCGCTGGCCAGGAGCAGCTGCGTGAGGAGCTCCGTGATGTCCCTGCCCGCCACGTGGAGCTTGCTGACTGCGTGGGGCAGGGAGTAACCCTCGAAGATGGGGACAGTGCAGGTGACCCCATCCCCGCTGTCCACCACCAGGCCCGTGACGCAGGCCGAGGCGTAGAGAGCCAGCACCGCCTGGTCCGACAGGTAGAAAGCGGGCACGCCAAAGTTCTCAAACATGACTTCCGCCATCTTCTCTCGGTTCTCCCTGGGGTTCAGGGAGGGTTCCGTCGCGAGCAGAGGCTGGTCACTGGGTTTCACACCCAGCTCCCACTCAAAGAGATGCTTCCAGAGTCTCTCCATGTCATCCCACCCTGTGATCAGGCCACGCTCGATGGGGGAGTGCAGCTGCAGGGCCTCGAGCTTGTACAGGGCCTCCTCCCCGACAAAGTACTTCTTCTGGTTGGCCCCTGCTGAGGGCGCCTGGAATTTCAGGTGCCCCACGATGGAGCTGACGATATGCCGGGGTCCAAACTCCCCGGACAGGCCCGCTTTGCAGAGCCCCGAGCCATTGTCGAAAATCACAGCGGGGGAGTCTAACGCGTGCAGATTAAACATGCCGGCAGCCTTCCCTTCTCAGCCTCATCAAAATAAAGACCAGCCCTCCAGGGCCACTTTGTGATGCAATAGGGGATCCCACGGCTCTCGGGGTGTCTCAAGGCAGGGCTAGCACCGCACCAGGGAGCCCTCCATCCTCAGGCTCAGGTCTGCTCTCCCTTCAGGGGGCCCCCGCCTGTTGAGGCCTCTTCTAGGGGGCTGCCTCCTAGGTAACAATCCAGCCAAGGCAACGATTGTCCTGAGCCTCAGCGGCCCTGGGGGCGGGGCTCTGAGTCCCCCATCCCCCACAGGGTGAGGAGCTCAAGAGAGGGAGGCAAGCGCATCCTAGGGTGGTGCTGGACAAGCCTGTGGGCTGAGGCAGAGACTTAGCTTTAGAGTGGAGAGAAGCAGCCCAACCTGGGTGCACCCCAGAAAACCAGCTTCTCTGAGCTGCAACCTCTGGGGTGACAACACTTCCCTGTGCTAAGGGGGAGAACCAAGCACCAGGTTGGAGGGGTGTTGTAAGCAATTCTGTCCCAACAGGCACTTAGAACGTGCTTTTGAATAGTGACTCCTCCAGGAAGCTCTCAGGGATTTCTCCTCCCTCCATCCCATTAGTCCCGGCTGTCTGTCCCACTGGGTGGACCCTATTCAAAGCCCTCTGGGCTGCTGGCCCTTTGTCCAGGAATACATCTCTGCTCTGGCTTGAGGCCAGGGCCCCTCATTCCTCTCTGCAGACTCTGAAGTGCCGGCACACAACAAAGTCCAGTGGCCACAGAGTTGGGGACCCCAACAGCCCCAAAGATATGGTCCACTGGTTTCACACGGGCAGCCTGGATTACAGCCTGTGACACCTCTCTGTGTCTACAAGCTGCCACACAGTCAGGCCACAGCCACAGAGGACCGCTCAGAGATGACCAGGCCATTAAGGGTCAAGGTCTGAGCACAACCAGGAAGGAGGCACTGGGCCAGGCCAAGGGCAGCAGCTCCGGACTATGAGGGGACCCACAACAGTGCGTGCCCGGCACTCAGACCCCCACCTTGGTCTTCTGCTTGGGGAGAAAGTGGGAGGGGATCCAACCTGGGAACCAGCTTCACTTTTTTCCTGAGGAGGGTGGAGGTGGCCTCAGAGAATATGAGGTTTATTCCCTCTCTCCTGTCATATCCACAATCACCCTGCAGCCCAGCTTGGTCTCCCAAAGTTCTCCCAGAGGACGCCTCCCGGGGTCACTCCCCTCCTGGAGCCCCTCGGCTCCTGCTGGTGGCCCCCTCTGTGTGTCCTGCCTGCCCTGCTGACCCAGCAGCAGGCATTAAACCCACGGTGGTATAGACACATGTTGCAGATGGGCAGTCTAGGCACGTGGCACAGGTAAGTAGTGTAAACACAAGGTATAGACGCATGGGATAGATGGGTGGTGTAGACACGCATTGTACACTCATTGATGTGTGGTGTAGATGTGTCTTGTTGATACGTGGTTTTGTGGGCACCACTGATCTCTGGGCGGGAGTCAATAAAAACTTGATTATTGAAAGATTTTCCTAGAGGGCACCCCCCCAGAGGGAAACTGAGTCAAATGCATGCCAGGGCGGGTGTGGCTTTTAAATCTCCATTTCTCTGGAAACCGTGGCAACCACCCAACAGCTTGCTTGCAGTTGTCTCAGAGACCTCCAGGCTCCCCGCGGCGGTAGGTGTGGACGGAGGCACTGACCCATGGGCATGGCCTGGGGCCCTGTGGCCTCCTTCGCAACCTGCTGACCGAGGCCCTGGAGGTCCTCCCTGCCCCCATCAAGGTCACCCCGCAGGTCCTCCTGAAGGTCACCTGAGGCCTGGCCAGTGCTGGGGGATGGGGAGAGTGTCCTGGGACAGGGGCAGGCACCATCCCGACCCTGTTCCTGTTTGATAGCGTGCACGGGCAGAGGGTGCCCCCCTCGAACACCGTCTTCCAGGCAGGTCCCAGGCTGCAAGGTGAGTTGTCCTCCGATGCCTTTCCGGTTCTACGGTGCGGCCACACTCACAACAGAAGGACCACCCTGCACGGGAAGAGCTCCCCCCACGCTGAACTGGGAGACCACAGGCATCAGTCCTGGGAGATACAAGTGGGCCCATCCCTGCTGACCTGCACAGCCGGAGGTCCTGGCAGAGGTGTGGCTGTCCACAAGGCTGGCCCTTTGAAGCCCTGGGACAGGATCTGGGTGGCTCTGTCCTGGCCCTGCAGAGGGGCAAGGGCCCCCTCCGTCACATGCCCTGCAGAGCAATAGCTCAACATCAGCCAATGCCGCCAGAGACGGCCCCAGATGGACACCAAGGTTTACCCAGGAGGGTGACAGAGTACCACTCAGGGATGGTATGTGCCCCCACCGGCTGACTCTGCCCACAGCCCCCGGCTGAGCCCCCTCTACCTTGCAGAGGTGGTCTCGGCCTGGGAAGGGCCCCCAAGGCTGGGACGACCGAGCCTGCTGTGTTGTCTCACAGACCCTGGCTCTGCGCAGCCCAGATCCACCATCAGCTGCAGGGATTGCTAAAGTTTCGAGTCTCATGTTTTGGGGAGAGCATTCCCTGGCTGGCTGCTGTGTCTTGGGGTTCCAGCCCACAGCCGTCACAGACGGTCTGCATCCTCAGTTCTCAGGTGTGGCTGGAAGTGCCTCAGTGTCGCCTGAGCTGAGCCGGGAGGAACGGGCTCTGACGCTTCCTAGATTCTGGCTCTGCTGGTGGCCACAGTGGGAGGCGGTGACAATGCTGGGTGGGGAGGGCTCTTGGGTCAGGCACAGAGACACGTTGAGGTGGCCCTGGGTGGGCTGGGGTCTTAGGCATCTGCAGGCAGGACAGAGGAGGAGACAGACCCACTAAGCCTGGGCTGCTGAGCTCCTGGCGGGGTGTTGTGGGGCTTCTCCGTTCCTCCGTCCCCTGTTACTGTCACAAGGCACAGTCACAGCGTCCCGGGCACAGCCTCTTACCCTGTGCACGTCCTGCAAAAACACACAGGCCCCTGTCTCCGCCCTGCCTGGCCCAGCTGCTTCCCCAGCCTCCGCATTAGGTCTGGGACTTCCCACCTGTTTCCAGCTCTTCTCGGTCCCTCCATGACCCTGCCAGTCCCCGCTTTGGAGGAGAGAAGGGCATACCCCCAAGTACACAGCTGGGAAAGCCGGGGCACAGGCAGCACTGGCCAGGTCCTTTTTCCCTAAATGTTTTCTCTCCCTGCTGAGCCTGGGAGCAGTGGTGCCCTTGGCCCTGGGTCTGGTGGCCTGACCCATCCTGGTAACTCAGATGATCGTGGCCGGGGTGCCACGTGCCCGGCAGAGCAGGCCCTGTGAAGCCCACCACGTTGCTGTTTGTCTATTTGGGAGAAGCAATTTGCAGGCAGGGTGGTCTTGCCCCAGTTACCATCAGGATGCTTGGACACCCGGGGCGAGGCTGGCTCCATCACCGTCATATCTGGGTTTGCTGTTGGAGCCGAGAACCTCAGGGGCAAGGCCCGGCTCAAGGCCCGGCCACTGGCTAGGCAGGCGCTTCTGTCCTAGCTGCTCGGTGTCTCACTGGGCTGAAGATTGTCCGCCATGTGGGCAGAGCCAGAAGAAGCAGGAAGGACCCTGAAGACCCCCCACCAAGGAGGCAACTGTCTGGGGCTGGCACCACGTGGCCACTGAGAAGATCCAGTGGGTTTATGAGCCACAGCCTACATGACCTTGTACTGGTTTCCAGCTGCCCCGGGGCAGAGGTTCCTCCCTGCGGTTCTCAGTTCTCTGGTGCCTGGGAACTTCGGCCTCCTCCCGGCAGTGGTGGCAGACGCCGGGCTCGCCGTCCACGAGGAAACATCTTCGACCCTCTTACTACTTGGTCTACACCTCCTGGAGGTGCCCGTGTGAGACGCACGGGGGTCCTTGTCACCTGGAGGGGTTTGATGTCCAACTGGACAGAAACCCCAGTGACTGAGCTGACTTGGAGCTCAAGGGGAGCGTTGGTGGTGAAGGTTGTTATTAACACAAGGACGTCCTCCTTTCCCTGTTCCAATTAGAGGCTACAGTTCCGCCTTGGCCCGCCCCGACCCATGCTGACCAAGCCTCACAAATCGCTTGAACAAGTTTATGGGCAAGCTGGCCGCACCGCCGTCCCCCATCCAGGGCAGGGCTCACCCTGAGATGATTCTGGGGCCATCATTTCGTCCTACACAGAAAGCCTCATTCTTCCTTCTGCTGGAGTAGTCGCACCCAGCACAGGCCCCTCCCACCCCCCCAGCAACCCCCACCCACCTCCCATCCCCGGGGAGGGGCCCCGAGACTGCAGCTGGAGGTGACGGACATGGGTGTCCCTGGGAAGCTGCCAGCCATGTGAGCTTGGAGTGGGTAGCCCTGTATCTGCTGGGCACCCCCTGACCCCACCAGCCTGGTTCAGGGTGCCTGGGTCACCCAAACCCTGGGCGAGGGGCCTCTCTGTCGGCCCCATTGTCCCTGGTTCCATCTGTCACTGGTGGCCAGAGCCTCAGCCAATTATTGACCAGTGGACAGGGCTCATTAGTGCCGGCCCACATCTGGTGGCCAGATCCCGCTGGCTGCGGGTTCCATGCCGGTGTCGGCAGTGAAGGAACAGGACGACTCTTAGATGGCAGGAGGCACACTGTCCTCGAAAGAGTGAGGAGGGTGTGGGGAGCACAGGGCTCACAGGTGGTCGCAGGAGGACCCGGTGCGGCTGCTCCCCCACCTCTCTGCCCGTGCATTCTCCCTGGCAGCTCAGCCAGAAGGGCCCAAGCCCCAGCATTCTCCCTGGCAGCTCAGCCCTTGTGAGTCCCTGAGATGGAATCCGAGTCCCCTCCATCCATCTACCCACGCAGCCACCCACCCAGTATCCGTCCTTCCAGCCATACTTCATGCAGCCAGCCTCCCACCCTCTCCTGGCTCCCCCCTCCCCCTCCCTCCCTCCCATCCTCGCTTCCTCCCTTCTCCCTACCTCCTCCCTCCCTCCTCCCTCCTTTCCTCCTGCCCTTCCTCTCCCCTCCCTCCTTCCCTTCCTCCCTCCCACCTTTGTT